TCCCCCATCTTTCACTTTTAATGAGATTTGGAGAGTGTGTCACCCCACTGTGAAGCCATCGGTGACAGGCAAGAGGACAAAGGAGGCCTGATGCTGGGTTTTGGGAAATACCCCCCCTACTAACCAGACACACACATGCAAACACACACACACACATACACACACACACACACACACACACACACAGCTAGCTCCCATCTGGCGATAGGGCATTAAGAGGCGAGCCAGAATAAGAAACTATTGGCACACATGCATGCATGTCCATGCACACACACACACACACACACACACACACACACACACACACACACACACACACACACACACACACACACACACACACACACACACACACACACACTCACACACACACACACTCACACACACACACACACACACACACACACACACACACACACACACACACACACACACACACACACACACACACACTTCAATCCAGGTGCTTTATCTACATCAGTTGAGAGGAAAAGCCCCCCCCCTTCTCCTCCCAATGTTCCTAATGTTTTTTCCTCTATTCAGCATCAACCTGCTGCATACTGTGCTCTTATGTTTCTGCCTCCATCAGACTATGCAACTATCAAAGCACTACAGCGAGAATGTTAGGCTGCAGGAGATATTAAAGAGCAACAAGTCATTTTTGTTTATGTACAAACCAAAACAAAACCTAAAATAAGTGAAATGTTACCAAATAAAATTGTCTAACTTCTATTAAATGTATTTTATATAAAATACATGTCCTGTTGGTGTAATTCATCCTCATGAAGGAAAACCTTCTTTGATTCTTTTTCTGTCTATTTCCTCTTGGAATTGCTTCATTTTGAAACTGGTCCAGCATTGAACGAAGTCGAAAAGGTGAGTAAGACTATCATTATTTCTGCAGACCTCTAAGCTCCAAGCTCATAATCTCACATCACACCGATGCCAGTGTCTTTCTCTGCATGTGTGTCGGAGGCATGTGTGAGATCTTGAAGAAGGCCTGAGGAAGGAGAGTGTCTGACTTTGTAATATAAGAGTGCCTCGCCCCAGAGACTCCCCCTTGACAAGCTTATGACGCACTTCCTGTCAAGGTGGTAGGAGGCTGCGTATGAGGATAAGAGGAGGAGGTGGGGGGGGGGGGGGGGGGCGGTGTTGGTGAGGACCAGCTAAATATATACCGGCTGTGATGATAGTGCTAAAGGCTGGCATGTGCAACCAATCATGCTTCCTGACTCGTGAAGGAGGAGGGGCCTGCTGCTGTTTCTCAAGCCAACCACCGCTGATACAGAGCCTCTTGTGGGGGGGCTGTTACCCAGCATTCTTGTAGAAGTGTGATGTATAGAACAGGATCATTTAAGGTCTTGGATACCATGATGCCATGCTGTATTCTGCATATCTATGTACAGCTTTGAGAACACGCCCATTGTCGTGTTACGCAGAGATCCTTCTCTGAGCACCATGGACAGCTCACGTGTGAGTGTGTGTGACCGCAGAAAGCAAGAAAGGCTGCATAAAGTTACCACAATACAAAGATATTTCTCAGTTATTTTTAATGAGGCAATTCTTAAAAATGCTAATGCATTCCTCAGAAATGTTAAATAATTCATGAGGTTTGGAAAAGGACAGAGTAATGCAGCAGTAAATGCTTTGATACTCTGAGGGTAATAATTCGTATCATTAATTCAGTCATAACTAAAGTAATCCTCATGCATGATAGGTCGATATCCTTCCTGAAGACATATACTTTCTCATCATACCGTGACGCACTCAGAGGTGCTGGAGGCACATTGTGCAAATCAGGATCTTATTTATGAGCAGAATAGGCTCCCAGGGGCCAGGGCACAACATGAGCACAGCCCCCGAGTCATTAAAGGGAGATTTTGGCATCCTCTTCCACTCCTCTCGCACACACCCCCTCTGCTCCCTTGAGACTGGAGGAGCACCTGCCCCCTTCCCAAATTGAACAGCCATTTAAGATGCTGAACATATGCGCACACATTCTCTTAATTTAGCTTCCATGCTGTCAGATGCACACGCCCACATGCTATATTTATATCCATGATGCATGTGAAAACTTTAAAACCCAGGAGAACATTTACAGAGCCGCCGGATGACGTGTTTCTGCAAAGAGACTGCATCAATACGCAGACACCGAGACTGATGCTACCTTGATTTATTTTTCACCTTTTCTGTGGGGAGAGGCAGTGGCAGGTTTTTTGTATTAGGGGGATTGATTGTCACAAAGGGTTATGGGTCACCTCCCTCACTTGCTCCGGGACAGGATGACGGTTCTGGCTGGTTGACTGTGAGAAAATAACATTTAGGGGTGGCTGGTGACACGTTTATTGAGCCTGTCAAATTAACAAAAGCAATGAGCTGAGCCGGGACAAGAGTCACAATAACACACGCACACCAAAACACACACACACACACCAAAACACACACACACACACACACACAGATAGACAGACAGAGCATGTTTTTCATATAACCTGATCCAGAAGTCGGGCATCAATCAAGCACTGATCTCTGTGTCACCTTGGGCTTTGCAGAGCTCCTGCGGAGTTGTTTGACGTCAGTGGTGTTGTGGTCTGAATTTTACTTCACCAATACAGCTCTACCAAGTGCAGGATCCCATACAAAATGACTCTAAAAATAGACATTACATTACATGTTAGACGCTTTTATCCAAAGCGACTTACATACTCAATACTGTGGGCAATCCCCACAGGAGCAATTTGGGGTGAAGTGTCTTGCCCAGGGACACAACGACATGCTGACTGCAGTGGGGTTTGAACCTGTGCTCCCCTGATCCGAACACCAATGCACTAATCCACTGCGCCACACGCCTCCCTAGACATCTCAGTTAAAATACATAGAAAATACAAAAAAAGAGAAGAGCAGTTGCGTAGATACACGTCATTACATAGACTTCAAAGTTCACACTAAAGCAGAGTTAGACTTGGATTTGAATTTATATCACCATTAATTTAATGTTTATGAAGATATACCAATAGCCATTTTACAATTATTTAAAGATCATTTTCAGACATGTTTTAAGACCAAAAATAATCTCCTTAATAACAATATATGTCTGAGTGGATAGGCCGTGACAAAAGCCTCATTTTGCTTTTGGATTTGCCTTGTAAAGAATAGATTTGACATCATTTCTAGGTAGTGTTGCTAACAGTTTGATGTTTGTTTACAAAAATGACTGTAGAATACAAAGACTTGGGTTAAAACTGATACATCTAATGTTATTCCATGATATGATTGTTGAAGTCTATTTTTCTTGTTATAGTTATAAATATATATATTTTTAAATGCATTTATCTGGTTTTACAAATCACTCTTGTCTGTAAAAGCATAACTAATCCAGTGGTGAATCTCAACGACAGAAACAGAGACAGTTTATCTGTGATCAGGTTCAGGTGTACTGTTGTGTTTCGTTAACTGTATCTCGTCCGATGATCATCTGTGAGGACTGAAGCTTTGTTGGTGGAGGTGGGGATCGGCTCCTAAATCGAAATAACACCTTCAAATAGCTCAATAAGTGCTCCTCCTCCCTCTCATCTCCATTAAGAGGTTAGAGTAGTCGATAGGTCCAGCCGAACACAAGGGACCAGCCCTATTGATTTCACCACTGTGGAAGGAGGGCAGCCATTAACTGAGCACTTCCTGTGGCCTTGGAGGAGCACTCACTCTACTGCCAACCCCTCTGTACCCACTGATCTCATGTAAAGTCCATTACTTCAACATCAGTAGAACTAAGGCTTATGTGTCTATAATTGTGTATTGATTATTGAGCGATGAGAACTGTTTAATAATATAAATATGGTGTTTCTTGTAAATGTGATTTCTCAGGAAGGGCTGCAGAAATGTTTTCAAGTTTGACACTCATTTATGAGTGGACTAAGGGATGAACTGATTTGAATTTGCTCGACAAAGGTCAAAGGTCACTGTGACCTAACAAAACCCTTTTGGCTATTATTGACACATTTTTACAATTTGTACACCAATGTAACATTTTGGGAAGACATGAATGATACTGTAACTTTCAAACTGCTCAGTTAAAACTACTTTTCTTTATGGTGGGTTTGTACTGGTAAATGAAGCATTATGTTTTCTTGTCAAGCTTAAAGACACAAAACAGAATAGAAATAAATGTAGTTTTCTTTGCCCTCGCTCATTCTGACTGTAGCTTTTGTGTCCAATGACAGTGATCATAGTGTAGCATTAAGCACCATACAAGACATACTGTTTTTCCCTTTAGGAATTAGGAAAGAGACCAAACACAGAGCTGAAAGAGAGTGAACATTGAACAAATCATTTTACTTTACTTGTCTTTGGTATCAACACAAATACTCAGGACACACAGATTTGTTTGCTTTTTTATCAAAAAAGGATATAGAGTATTTCATTTGGACACCAACAAACCTCTCCATTTACACAGCAACAGAAGCCATAGAATCACACTGTAACTTCAGAGGCACAAAACAGGAAACGTTTAACTACTTCAGGTTGCACAATCTTCATTGTTGAAAATGTGGAATCACCTGTTTAGGTTTCATCCTTAATGTCGATGAATATTCTGACAATGAACTCAGGGTGGAGGTACGTGTGGTTAAGTAGGGGGGTCCAGCCACTAATTGGAGAACATTCATCAAACTTAAAAGTGAGGAGGGGGGAGAGAGAGTAGAGAGAGAGAGAGAGAGAGAGAGCTAGGAGAGAGAGAGCTATAGAGAGATAAGAGAGAGATAGGAGCTGAGAGAGAGACTATCCTAGAGATCGCTTCTTCTCTCTCGCTCCCTCTCGCTCTCTCTCCTCTCTCTCTCTCATCGCTCTCTCTCTCTCTTCTCTCCTCTCTCTCTCTCTCTCTCTCTCTTTCTCTCTCTCCTCTCTCTCTCCTCTCTCTCTCTCTCTCTCTCTCTTCTCTCTATCTCTCTCTTTTCCCCTCGCAATTCCCCCCTACCCGACCTGCCCCCAACCATCCCAACATGAGAAGAGCATCTGCCTCTTCGACAGAGCTCTTTGTATCATTCTCATCTGGTGAGCAGCCCTGTCACAAACTCTTTGAAATTCCTTGATGTCAAAGACGTTTGTGTTGGACTCTATTACTATATTTTTTACATTACGTTTTTTTCTTTACAAGTGTTATTTTCTACATGTTATCACAAAAAACACGACTCAAACAAATGCATAAAAAACGATTACATAATGACTGTTCATGATGTTTTGACCAGAACTGTTACTATGGATTTATTGCTTTGTACACTGAGTAATGTTGTTGTGCCACCTGCACACTTATGGTCCACACGCTGGAACCTCGACGCTGATGGTCTGTACTGCGTTAAAAAAGAAATTTGAATTCCAGCTAAAACCCAGCTCTGCTATTCCCCTTTGGTTGATTGTGCAAAGAAATTGAAGCATCAGTAACAGTTTCTGAGACAAAGACAAATACGTTTGAAAGAAAGAAAAGACAAACTACAAATGTCACGTTGTTCCATGCATAAATACACATCCACACACATCTATATTGTGAAGTGCTGACTTATGGTCCCCACAGACAAGTGTTAAATCAAAAATAAATTGGCCCCCTTCAGACCTGGTCAGTGTAAGTGCAGACTGAGAAACAGATTCGGTGTCAGCTTGTTCTTCCTTTTCAGGAGCCTCAAACACTTTTCATTACCACACTACCATGAAGAAACATCATTACATTATACATCATAACATGTCTCATCTCACACCCATGCTGTAATGGAAATTGAAGAATGGCAGTTTGTCCAAATTGCACTCATTTGTGACTCCTGCTGTATTTAGCTATAAAAGAAATCTCCTGTTTTGGTAAACGTTAAGCAAAGTATAGATTTATGTAAACATTCAAATACTTTTTTTAGGATTGTTCACCTCAACTTGTATGTCATTTGATATGTTAAACTAGTTTCCATTTAGTTTTAAAGACCATGAAACATTTCATATGGACATTACATTTCTGGTAGAGTTAAAAACAGTTTTGATTTTTTAACTTTTAGATAGAGAAATACTTAAACATTAAAATCTCTCTTATCCATTTTATCATATCTTTCACATTTATATAAATAATATATGTTTCTTATTCTCATTTACATGATAAGGGTTTGCTCCTCTCATATTGTAAGACTCTCATTCTGATTTTAGATTTTCTTTACTTTCCCAAAATCATTGCATTGCACAAACCCTTCACTAAGGCTGTTTATGACTATTCATCTCTTAGTCTAAATTTAATCTAAAAACTCTTATAAATATGTTATGTCTTCTAGTTATCTCTCTCATATATTTTGTATTTAGGACATTCCTTTCAGCATTGGTACGACTAGACTTTTCTCACGTTAAGGTGAGTATAGTTATGAGGATAGCTTTACTCCTGCACTACACTGCTGAGATGTGTCGGGTTGAAGTTGCTAAAATCAAACACTAAACTGCGGAGGTACAAAATGGATCACATGTAGCACACATTGGACAGACACCTTTTTCATTTACCTTATATGCAAGTGTAACCAAACAGTCATCATGATGTGCCACTCAAATCTCAACACTAGTTCACTTACATGTTAAGGACATTTACATACACAGAAGCCGGTGATAAGAAAACAAAAATCATCATATTGTGCATAAAAAGGACACACTACTCTGAGTGCATTCAGGAGAGATACAGTACAATCTATATCAACAGAGTGTCTAGTTTCTGTTTACGACGCTGTGCAGTGACACATCTATACACTGTAATGGCTGGCTTGTAGGACGTTGTATTGTAATTTGATATAAGGGTTTGGTTCTGATGAGCAGCTTCTATGTTTCCCTACAGGCTTCACTGAGGACAGCCTCGGCGGATGGGATAAGATTGTTCACACTTAGACACAATTGCACTCCAAATAGATATACCTTTTATCAATATGTATAATAATACGTTTACAGACTGCCAATTTGATATTTGTTACATCTCTATTAATCGAATATCTTTTGAATCTTTTACACATTTTAGTTATTTTTACATTAAATTTATACCTATTTAGATTTGTTTTGAATTTGTGCAAACAATACAACAATGGATTGTAGTTTTTTTTCCTTTGTTGATATTTTTTGATGACTAAACTGATGCACACTCAGGAAAATAAGTCTACTCATGTGTCAGTGGATCTATGTTTGGTCTAGGAGTGTCCCTCATCCTTCCTGTATCCGTAGCCTCCTGCCTGAGCTTCTTCCTGGACGTACTCCTCCGTCTTCTCCCAGCCTGAAGCCCAGCCTCCGTTCACCTGCGTGGTGGCACCGTACGACTTAGGCGGACCTCCGAAGGCACCGTAACTCTGAGTGATGTCGCCCGTCTCTTCTGCCAGCTCGTCCTCGTCTATGAAGCCACACTTCTCCTCGCTGGTGAGTTCTGGGTCGGCCCACGGCTGCTTTTCTCCCGACGCAAAGATCCCATAGAAGATAACTCCCCCATAATGCACCATGGAGGCGATCAGGAACACAGACTGCCACTCCTCTCGAGACTGAAGAGAGAAAGGAAACAAAATGTAGGTTTTGACCCCTGTCAAGAAAAGTCTGGACATTGTTTGTATTTATTGTATTGCGGGAAAATATAACTAAAACCGACAATAAATCATTCAATCAATCAAAGTTTATTTATATAGCCCAATATCACACATTTTACATTTGTCTCAGTGGACTTTACGGTTTGTACAGAATATGAATACGACACCCTCTGTCCTTGGACCCTCACATCGAACAAGGAAAAACTTGTCCGATAAATAAATGCAATGAATAAGTATTTTCCCTCAGTGCCAGAGACATTGACACGTATTACTTTGTGGTGTTTAAAAACACATTGGGTGACCTCATTACCGCCCAACATGCTGTGTACCATCCTTCTCACTAGCCCCCTTAATGTTTATTCATTCATAGCTGAAAAAGTCCCAACAAATGCTATTGAACTTGATCTGACTGAAGTCTCTGCAAGTTGAAATCTATAGACCATGGCTATGAACTATCAGCTGCCTAACGGCCTATTGATAAAACCCAGGCGCTATCCATGGCGCTAAAGTAGCTGACACATTTATCAGAGTCCCGCCCTTCTGTCAGCTTTGAGTTGGATCTATAATACTGTCTTAACGGGGTGTATTAAGATATAGAGAACAAAACTGTTGGAAAACCATTAACTAAATGTTCACTGTATACAGTATACTGCTTATAAGGGTGAATTAAGGTGGTACCGACTTATCTGGGATTTGAAGACTTGATGGCACAAATCAAATGAGAGGATCTTTATCACTGCCATGTTGTGCGCCTGAATGAAGAAGCCCTTACCTTGTTCTTTGTCATAGTACCAACGATCAAAGGGCACACCATCCCAGACAGGGTGCCCACACCGTTAGAGATGCCCATTAGGATACTGGCGTAGCGTGGAGCGATGTCCAGGTGATTGACATTAAAGCCTGATGGAGCAAAAAAACATTAAATTAGAATATTGATGTACATTTGACCCTTTCTTCAATTGTGACGAGGCCAGACAAACACATTTAAATGGCCAATTGAGGCAAACACTGTGACAGTATGTATCAAGTTATAAAAGCAACAGAAGCAGGACGACGTTATAGATAAAAGTAGAACAAATGGGGACCATCTTGTTGCAGAAATAGGCAGCAACTTGCCACACATCCTCCTCCTCCCCCACTCTGACTGGCTGCATGAGTAAGTGTCCTCGAGATCTGCCTCACCCTGCCTGCTGGCAAGTCCCCCGAGATAGCTAACACTGAATTATTAAACAGTCTAGGCAAAAGCTCAGGAACAACCGGCAAGAAACTGATTTTCCACAGAGTCACAGACCTGAGCGTGAAACGTGAAAAGATCTGTTGAATGAAAGACTAAAAAAAGCTCAAATGGTTCATTTTACCAGTTAAAATGTGTTACAAACAATATCAGAAATATGAGGTCTTAAGGAAGTCTGTTACTATAAGCTCATATTGATAAGCCTCAGTACTAGTGTTATTTAAGTGTTGCAAATAACATTTGGAAGAGAACACTCAATAGTACTTGCTTCTGCAACATCATATTTACAAATGACATTCTAATATGTGAGATCTTTACACAATTATATGTAGATTCACATACATTTCAAGAATGTTTGTTTGAATCATTTATAATCCCCACGCTCATAGCTGCATGTCAACCATCCTAGAAATAACATAAATAAACAACATTCAATCCTACCATCAATTAACGACATGCTCAACTTCGACATGCTCTCAGTTTGCAAACTATATCAGGAATATTGGCAGAAATGTACTGATACTTTAGACTGGAGGTACACACTGCTATAAACTGCTTAATTGAATGTAATTCATTCATTTTGGGAAATATGCTTATTATTTCTTGCAAAAAGTTAGATGATTATTACTATTTGTGTGGTAAATATGAGGCTACAAGGAGACATACAGGAACGAGGGATGTATTAAGGCAAATAACTAATAACAATTATTTGATCAACACTTCTGAATGTCCTTGTTCACTTTCTTTACAAAGCATGAAAGGAAACAGCACAATAACACCAACCGTTCATTTAGTGAGAGGCTACATATCAAATGTGGCTTATTTGTCTTATTTAGACCCTTCTTTTGTGAAAAGGCAATAATAAATGACATCCAGTCAAATGAATCATCATCAGTGATCACATGATATAACTTCAGTAGTCATTTATTGTAACTACATAAGAATGAAATTGACCAGAAATTGTGTTTTTTTGTACTAACCCGATATAGCAAATCCACTGAATCCCACTGCCAGCACCAGGAAGGAGATGGCCACCCCTTTGCTGTGGGAATATCCTACCACCAGCAGAAATGTGGCCTCCATGCCAAATCCTAACAGAGACAGACAGCAGGGCACACACACACACACACACACACACACACACACACACACACACACACACACACACACACACACACACACACACACACACACACACACAAAGCCCACAGGCTGTTGGTCATCACAGTGCCAATTGAATTACGCACGATGCATGGCCTGCACTCAATTACGTAGGTGACAGATATGAAATCAATGCACAGTCACAATCAGTGAGTCGACTAAGTATTGAGCAGATACAAAAATAAAAACAACAATCTCTCTGGCAGTGAAAAGCATCCAAAAGAAAGAGCAGTATGGATCCAACACTATGAAAGTAACACCCTGTACTGTGCAGAGAGAGGTGTGGACAAATGATATTTCATCCTCGGTTCAGACTTCTCACCTCCACAGTTCATTATTTTCCTGACATTGGTAGTCGACATGATGTTCTTGGCACGTAGGTGGTCGGCCAGCATGCCGCCGAGAGGCACAATGATGGTCATCACTAAATGGGGCAGGGCAGACACAGCGCCGACCTACAACCACAAGCAGGAAATAAACCAGTTCAGCTGCAGCACGGCGGCAGAAAAACAATGGAAAGGTTTCATCATTTAGTGTCATCACTGAAAAGGACCTGTCTGGTTTTTTACATCTATACAATGCGGCAAATTGCATTGTGGGAATGTTGCCATGGACACAACATTTTCTTGTTAAAGTGACTGAATTATTGAGGGCACTCAAAAAGGGGGAAGCGAAGTTCAATATTTGGTAAATAGGTTGAGACTGGCATAATCTTTGAGAGTGAAAACTCAAAACACTTTTATTATTCCCCAAAACAGTGTTTATTGCTCTTTTAGTCTATAAAGATATGAAACCACATATTAAACAAAAAATGTGCTATTCCACCCATTGCACAAAGTCTATTTACACCCTTTGTAACAGTAACATTGGGTTTATTAAATAAGAATCAATATTATTTGGCTGTATATATTTATTTTCCTATTAAAGGCAAACCATGCATTTTACATAAAAAACCTTGGTGTAAAATACTTTGTGATAGCAGTCACTCAATTGTATGCCTATCTCTTGTGAAGCGGTGTTGCCTTGTTATGTAATGTATCTGTACATAAGAGAGGATCACAGGCCACCAGTTATACTGACATTGATTTTGATGATAAATTATTCCAACAGCAAAGTGTCACATGCTCAGCTCTGAATCGTCTGGCACTGGTGTTGTCGTGTCATTGTTTTGTCACATGGATTTGAAACTATCCTGTATCACTCACTCACAGTCCCTGCTCCGTGTTTAGCATTTGTCCACTGACTTGTACTGTAAGCTCACCTTGCTTATCTCAAAGCCAAACACTTCCTCAAAGTATGCAGGCTGGCTGATCAGCAGCAGGTAAAAGGTCCAGCTCCTGCAGAAGTTAGCCACGATGATTGCATAGACGGGCATGGAGGTGAAGAACTTCTTCCAGGGGGTCTTGTATTTCTGGAAAAGATTATAACAAAGATTACATTTGACAAATAAATATACATGATTAATGGTATCTGACAACAAACTAAAGGTGATGTATTCAAACTCTAGATGGTATTTTGTTGGTACTTCTTGTGCTCTTTACAACACATATAGTTGAAAATAAATATTGTTAGGTGGATTCAATTCTTGGTATTCCTTAAATTTAGGTTGTTACCTCAGCGGGACCCGCTAGCTTCATGCCCTCTCCAATGCTCTCCTCAATGTAGCAGCGTTCCTCATCCGTGATAGTTGGATGAACAGCAGGGCTCTCATAAGACACAAGGACCCAGAAAATATACCAGAACATGCCGAAGCATCCTGCATGTCGCAAACAGATAACATGTCAGAACTTTAAATAATTACAAAGTACTGCAGCTGATTTTGACCTCAGCGACACACCCAGAAAATGTTAGGCAGTCTGATCTTTCCAACATGCCTGAGAGACACGTAAACTAACTGCATCCAGTCCAGAGAGAAACATGGGGGGTTATTTATTGACACACCAAAACATTGTGGGGGAGAAAATCAATACATTGTCTGCCTGGATAAATCCATTTCACTTTCACTGGACTGTTTGAGTGTCAAACTCTCAAGCCTAAAACACTTCAGCCACAAATTGTTCCACATAGGCCATAAATACCTTTTTTCACCATATTCACTTGTGCAACGATACACACAAACACGTATCACACCTATCATCAATCAATCTTACCATATATGTAGAACACAGAGGACCAGCCTGAGTACTGAACCAGGACTCCAGCAAGAGGCATCGCTATCACAGCACCGGCGTATGAGCCTGGCAGAGAGAGAGACAAGGGAGTCAGTCACACTTTTATTTTTACACAATTTGATCATTGCCAATAGGATATGTCGATAAATAACTATTTACCACAGAATGAGAGGGTGGCCAGACGACTCCTTTCCAGCGGAGGAGCCCACTTACTCCAGATGCCATGACATGCTGGGTAGGTCACTCCCTAAACACACCACACAGCAACAGTCTGTGTTTATCAATGGTTAAGAAACATAAAATAAAAATAGAAGCAGACTAAACTATGTGTTCTTTTCCTTATTATTTTAGGCACCCTGGATACACAAAGTCTGTTTTCCAATGCATGTACAGTATTTAATGACATTGGTCAACTCTCCATTTTGGCATTTTGGCTTTTGGTTAAAATAATGATTCAGGTGTGTACAATTAATAAATTGTAGACAGTAGTGTTTTCGTAAGAAAATGATTTTTAATTCCCTTCATGAATAGGAATCACTTTACAGATAATTTCCAAACATTATAATGGCATTTTAGTGGTGAACATTCAAGAAGTTTCTCTGCATTTGAGTTTAAGGTATAGGGACAATCTATGAGGGAATACCCTTTAAGATATGAACATGAACAAACAGGTGTCTGATATACTAACTGACAAAAATTAACATTTCACCTTTGTAATTAACATGAACAAATTGCTACGGTGCCATGAGCAAAGAGGACCTGATTAGCTGTTCATGGAGCAAGGCAGGCCTGCAGCTATTAAATGTTCATTAGCCACTAATTTGAACAAACTGTGCTGACGTAAAAAATAATATTAGGAGAGCAGTGCATGCGATATTAGATTATTTTATTCTTTACAAATCTGTCACTTAGCCTTCAAACAGGATGTGCTGATGAAGGAATTATTTACTATCAAGAGTTTTACATAATGGGTCCACAACCACTGGAATAAAAATGAAAATCCCTCAGCCAGACATTCCCTGTGTCCTTGATGATTCCCTGATTTAATAAATGATGCCCATCAAAAACTCCATCTATACATTTTATTATGTCTGTCATATTTGCATAATAACTGTAGTGTCAGCTTTCTGCATTTTGCACAACATCAGACACATTTTACGAACATTACCTACACACCAGGCAGATGTTTGGGTCTCATTTTTCACTACAAAGCTAGAGGATTAGTGTCATTTTGCCTTTTAGAATTGTCCTTTGCATTTATCTGTAAACCAGCACTTTGCTGTTGTGTTTCCAGGATAAGTGTGACAGCAAAATAGAAGGCTAGACTATCCCACAAACACTCAGCTGTTGTGGACTGGATCAATACAGTTGATCTCACATTTCCTCTGGATGAATATCCTCTGCATGCTACAGCCTTTCACTTGATTTCTCATGGTGTAAGATCTGCAGGAAGCCCCTTTGTATAGTGTATTAGTGCAACATCTCACCTATGGATAACATCACATTATGTAGCTTTCATGATTTATTGATAACGAGAAAAGTGCTGTTTTCTTTACGTGGATACAATAAATCAACATATTCTAATAAATAGAAGAAAGATGTTGTTTAAAATGTTGTAATAAACCTTTAGATGTTGCTCTTACCTCCACCAGCCCTTGTAATATCCTCACAAAGATGACACACCCATAGTGGACTCGAGCAGCCGAGGGAATTAACATGTTGAGAATCGAGGTAAGCACAATGGCTGCACCAAATACCCTGAAAATGATCACATATATTTTAAGTATAGCATTTTATATGAAGCAGCTTATTCCAGCAATGTGCCATGTTGACAAAGAGCAGAGCATTGAAATATCACATTAGATCAAAAATACCTTTTTTTATTTTTAAAGGTAAATATAAAAGATAACTATATCGTCTGCCTTGTACCAAAGCCAAGAATGGCCTTGCTTGCTAGAGATCAGGAGGGCCATGCCAGCACGCATAAATGGCATCTTAAAAACTGTAGCAACTGAATTAGAATATATGTCAGATCACCAAAAGAGCCCTTATACAGTACGCATCAGACTGTACTTCAATCAAGGTCAAACAAAAGCAGACATTTGATTGTGTAATTCGGTAAGTGGAAACCATTTGGATCAGGAAAATACTTTTATTTTTTAAACCTAAAGATACCTTAATTCCGGGTTAACATACATGGGTTATCCTTACATGTTTGACACTGTAGTGTAGGCTACATAGCCGGCAGTATTTAACCCACAGAAATGTTTAAACCCTAGTTAGCCTGAAGCAGAGATTTCAAGGCCTTTGTGTGTTTATTAGGCCTACAATTACATTTTGCTGAAATATACTGAAATGTAGATGTCCAAAAACAAAAATCTACTCAGATGGGGGTCTATATTCTGATATCAATCTTGCATTAATAGATGACCAGCCCAAAAGGCGCTCAGAAGGCATGTCCATATACTGTGAGACTAAATATACAAATTACAGAAGAAAAAGGAATATTAGGCCTATTTTCTGTATGCCTTCACAGCTACTAATTGCCATGCATCAAATAAACACATGCACATTATTTGTGTATAATTGCCTATCAGGCTTATTTGTCTATTCTTTCAAGCTTTATAAATAAAACAAGCCAATGCTTTGCCTCTTAGACAACCTGCTTTCTATTTTTCAGATATGGTCAGCTTAAGCAATGTTACGTCCTGAAAAACCACGCCCATCCGGGAAAATGTTTTTAGGGAGTTCCAGGCCCATGATAGGAGACGCATGTGTCACCTAGCAACCGTTTTTCTAATTTATTTTTTTACATCATTTGCATGTTATCACTTTGCTAATTATTATCTGACAAATCAAGGCTGTGTGTGGTTGCTAATTTAAAAAAACTTTAAGGCAAATAAAACTATGTTTTTTTTTAAGAAGGACGAGATCATTGTTGTTCTTCCTTTGGTGTCGCGAGGGAGCAGCTGAGCAAGTGAGGTCGCGCGAAGGGAGCTATTTCCCATTTCTGTCACGTTCTCCCGCCCCTTTCATCTGCACGCGGGGGGCAAACCCTAATCCGGTTGAGAGTACTGTTGGGCACGAGACCAATTGATTCAACTACATCCTCGTGTCAATCAACAAGATGAGGAACAGCCAACCGGGGTGCAGAGAATTAAACATATGGGTGATATAATGCCTATAAGGGAAGGGGGTTCAGCTAATAATAACTGCTAGTTTGGCTGCCCTTTTTAAATAATAATGCATTTTTAAATAATATGTGCCTTTTATTATAAACGATTAGTCTGCCCAAGAAAAATAACCGGAACCATTTTTTGCGTTTATAGTTTTGTTACCAATAATAATTAAATGAGAAAATGGTATGTAGCCTACCAACGTGAACCGTCATAGCTTGGTAAAAGAAAAACGATGACTCATTGGCAGATGCGAATTAAAGCCTTTGGCGACAGGACCGGGTCTGGTCCCCCCCCAGGGAGCTCATTAACAGGTGGCAGAGAGCCTGACAGCCCCCACCCCCCTGCAGCTCTGCATCACTTCAGATCAGCTGACTGTCTGCTGCCTGTATCAAACCCAGCCTGTAAATTCTTCATCCAATTCATAATTCAGGCAAGACTGCTGCCATTTTTTCTGTCTGTCCTTGGCTGTTATCTTATGTTCTGCAATCATTCCGTTCCAAAGTGTAAAATGTGTTCATATGATTTTTTAAATAAATAAAGAATGAGTGTCAGAAAGGAAGAGGCATCTCAGTCATTTGGCTTAATTGGCTAAAAATGGTAGTGATTTTTTTTTATAATCTGACAAATGATTGTCTCGGTGTTGTATTTATGGTAATTCATGGGGAGTGCCGCCTACCTGTTTGCTGCCAGCCTGGAGGATATCCATCCTCCCGGGATTTGTGTAACGATGTAGCCCCAGAAAAAGGATCCGTGAATCAGACCCACCGTCTCCGGATCCCAGTTGAACTTGGCTTTCTGAGATAACAGAAATACAAAACCAGTGAAAACTATGCAACGTTGACGTTGAATATTGTTAAATGACCTCTGTTGTAGGCCTACTGTTGTTTGCTATCATTTAAGATCAAACGAAAAACCTGTATTCTATGTATTGATCTTTAGCCAGGCCTGTTTATTAAAAGGCCTGCAATGGTTTATTTCGATCAGATGACATTGATCTGTGCACGTTCATGTGTTCTGACTGCACTGTCAATTAAGAACTTGCCTACGGCTACGAAGGTGGGGGAAACTAAATATCTGGGTGTTGTTGGATGAATAGTAATATAATAATATCTTTATTGGTTCATAATTTGGCCTAAACACAAAGAAAACATTTCAATGCATCCAATAAACCTGAATACATATTTACTGTAATATAGCATAGGCTGTGGTGAATTAACCTATTTGGACATGTTTTTCTTTTTAAAGATGTAAGCTATAAGTCTTAACTTGTTTCCTATGTATGCAAAAAAGACGCTGCAATAAACATCTGTAATATAAATAACGTCAATTATTTACATTGATTATTAGGGGGTTTCACACAGGATACATAAATGCATTTCTTTCTTTTCAAATGTAATCATATTAGGCCTAATCAAAGACTGAAACATAAAATATTATCAGCTCCAACGCACTGACGAGATTTTAAAACATGACCAACATGTTATCAAATCTTAGGCGTAGGCCTATTTAATGTTTTCTTACGCACACATATCCACTTATATGTTGAAAGATCAGCCATGAATATTAGGGGACCATTTAAGTGCATTGTTTTATTGATAATAAAACAACTGGCCTTACATATTGTTTATCTCATGTGTGGAGGAAATCATTTTGGTTTTCTTTAACGTCAGGCTGCTGGTGCCACACCTCTGTGATGATGATCTTGCCGTTCTCGTGGATGGTGCTGTTGTTGACCATGCCCACTATAGCCACGCCCAGGTTACACCGGATACCGAAAGAGATGCAGAAGCCCAGGCCGCTCATGATGGCGATGATGTATCGGCGGGGCAGACCGCAGCAGTTGCAGTCACACAGCGGGGGTTTCTTCTCTGCGGCCTCCCGGGGCCGGCCGTCCTCCGTCAGCTCGATCACCTCCCCAGTTTTCTGTTTCCTCTCCATCAACCTGCAACAGCCAGGTGAGGACAGAGTCTAGAAGTTCCCCTGATATTTTTTCATCATATGACATGATGCAACCCAAACATGTAAAACTGTTTTGTTTTTTTCAAAGAGGGCCCTTTTTTATTTCCATTTTGTATTAATATTTCATTATGGACGTGATTGGGTGTTGTGTGTGTCCATCTGAGATTTATTTTTTGTCAGTCAAGAAAAGGCAGGAGGCAGTTTTTCCATTCACCATAATAAATAAGCCTGGTGGTGGAGAGGCCTTCTGTATTTCATAAGGAGCATTATCTGTAAGGTTCAGGGAAGATGACTCAAAAACACCTTAGCAACGACTTCAAGGAAAATACGTTCTTCTATTTAAATAAAGGAAAAAACGAACAAACTTCGCCTGTAGCTGAAACCAGGCGCACATGTCCCTGACTGTAACGCATTGCAGCAGCCTCTCACTTTCACTCATTAGCATTCACGGGACCGAGCAGCAGCCAGCCTGCATACTGCATTTCAATCTACGACAGTCGCCTTTTTTGGCCTCACAGTAGGCAAAATTGACTAGATGCAAAATGATACAACAAATCAGGTTTTTGCAAACGGATAAAAAGAAAAAGTGCCAATATACAGGGTAAAACATTCTCGTTAAAATGCTTGCAAAATGCAATTGATCTATGAATTGCAGTGAAAAAAAGGTCAAATGAAAATACGTGTAGAAGAAATGCGTTTATCTGAGGGATCATTGAATCCAAACAAGAGAGAAAATCATTAATAAATGATGGCCTGCTCCAGACTGTAAGGAATATAATATAGCACATGGCAGGCCCCTGAAATGCTTGAAGGACACAGGGGAATCATCTAAATATAGTGCAGATGCAACAGCTTGAAACACCAGATAAATCCTGTCGATATAAATATGTGATGGGTTTTTAATATTGATATGAGATCCGGCTACAGGGTCTACCATCAGGCTACATGAAATACACGACTGGACGTGTCGTTTGTCCTGTTTAACCTGCTAATAGATAAAGGCCCTTCACCAGGACACACTGACTGCGTGCACGTTTTCATCTACGCTGTGCCATCTATGTTCACCCAAACCCCCTGCCATCACCATTCACATGCACACGAACGTGCACTGAAGTACGCGCGCACACACATATTTGGTTGCATAATTTTGTTCTCACTTGTAGAGGCGTGACTAGACATCCCTATAAGTTGTAAAACAGTTGTGGGTGACCTGCAGATCTACACACCACCTTGACTCGTGTTAGGCTGAAATCAAGCATGCAAACAATCTCTCTTAAACGCAAGGAAAATGAAAGGCGCACACTGAGATGAAAAAATGCCCGCCCTTACCTGTGCATATGACCCAGGGTCTTCCCTGCAAATTCCTTCACCCCCGCCGTGGCTCTCATCTTTACTGACTCCATATCCAGTTTCTTTGTCTAGGCCTTTTTCTTTTAAATATTATTTTACTGCTTAATCTTCATGTTACGGCGCAGGATGGCCGGCTGCAGCGGCTACGAGGAAAACAACAAACGAAGTTGTGATGAGCGTGAGTCCAGGGAGGCGACGATCCAAAAAGACGAGTTTATTTTTTTAACAATGAAACCGTAAATGCGAAAAAACAGGAGGAATTAAACAAGCCGTGCGCCTTCCTCCACCACCAGCTCCTCTCCTGCCTGGCGTACAGTAGCCGCGCCAAGTGCCATCACGAGGAAAAAATGAGAGAAATTAATAGTCGGCGTCGTAGATCGGTTATGGATTTGTCCGGAATTTAAAAAAAAAAGGAGAGAGAGAATGCGTAGACAAATTAAAAAGGCTCAAAGAAAGCAGAAGTGGGTGTTTGGAGTAGCTTCAATAAATCAAAGAGGGAGTGAGGCAGTATCGTGGCTCCTGTGGTGCGCGCAGGTTCATCTGACGTCGTGCTCAGCGACAGCAGCTCCGCGTGCAACATCTGGCCAGCTGCTCAGCACACATGCAGGCCAAAGAGACAATATTACATGCTAATGCATACATATAACTTACTGTATTAGTCATTTAATAAAACAATATAGGAAAGAGAGAAGACATGTTTTATAGTTCATTTTTATTTTTGCTTTATGTTACATCTTAGTTGATTTGAGGTATATGAAAGGCCTTTAGTTATTTCGATTTTATTTTATCATTCGGATTTTATTAATAAAACGTATTCAAAACAAGTACAGTTAACCCAATATATGAAAGCTGCAGCTCTCACTAGGGCGGTGCTATGGAAACCAAATGAGTAGGAGTGAATACCTCCCCCCCCCCCCCCCCCCCCAACAAGCTTCTCAACGTAGGAATCTATCAATAATTCATAATAATTGTTATCCCCCAGACAACCACATCCTTCCACAGAAGCATGCATTACATTTCGGAACCATTTCTTATACATATTTATATGTTATGAGATTTTAAGGATATGTCATATATCCTTCTGCATTCACTATTTTAGCCGAATAGTAAAAGACTACAAATGCCACAATAATGGTAATGACAATATTAATCAAATACATTAAAGTAATAGTAATACTCAACACGATTATTACATCTTTTGATATACAATATAGCTTACATGTGCTTTTAGTGTAAAAAAGAAAAGAGAGGTGATCAGGGTCTCTTTTTCATTTGTTGGTGTGGGGCACCATCTGGTGGTCGCACGCCACACTGAATCTTTGCCTCTATACTCATACAGGTATTTTGCTAAATTATGTTTTTCATATCAATTCTGGTTCTTTTTTTTTCTTTAAGTCACCCTCACCAAAAAGTATGTTTTACCTTATTTTGCATCTCCTATGCTGCTTTGCAGAATGATGCATCTGCGACTTTGGAGGGGTGTTTCATTCATCTGGGCAACACGTTTAGGTAAACCGAAGATTTTTCACTTGCACACTACAACTGCTTTGAAAGCATGCATGCAATTTGACAAACATTATTAAACACTGAGATTTGATTTTACAGTGAAGATGGAGACAGTCTTCTTTTAAGCACACAATCAATTCTTATTAGTTTACCTTATCTAAAATTAGCAGGCAAACCGATTACCTCAAAACAACAAAGTCAAACTAAGTAGAGATTTTTGTTTGACTTAATCGAAGTGACTAGGGGTTGTGGAGGTTTCCATATTGGGTTATATAACAAAACAAAAGTTAATATAATCAAATATAATTTAGTATAATCCACAATGTAAATTGCATTATATTTCATAAAGCTCTATACTTATATACTAAATGTACACTGTTTGGTAAACTGACATGAAAGAGTGTCTGGGTGAAGGTCTGTTATAGCAGAGGGAAGACACCCTTACTCTAACAGCAGCCTGCAAACAGAGGCCCCTGACTCAATGGGAAATTACTTTAAGCTTTAGTTTAGTTTTTAAGGCAGGTCTGGACCAGTCCAGTCTCACACCCAGCAATGACACCTCCCCACATATATGGGTATGTTGGTGTGTACTCGCTTTGGCTTCTGTTGGTAGGTTATAAAAACCAGTAGCTGAGAGAGGAAAAAAGGTCTTAGGGGTCTTAACTGGGAATCTCTCCCTACAGTAGATCTTATTTGCCCACTTTCCTCATGAGGAAATTCCTCTGAAGAAATGCAGCTTTTTCAAGGTCTCCCTTGAAAAAGAGATCGTTGACCTCAATGGGATTTTTTAACCTGGTTAAATAAAGGCTACAAATGCAGGGAGTTTTAACACAGGGGTCTTTATAGGGGATTTCACCATAAGTGATATTCTTTACAGGGAATGACTCCCTAGGTTTCATTCCTAGCTGGGAATCTGTCCCTAGATCTTATTGATCCACTGTCATCATGAGGAAATTCCTCTGAAGAAATGCAGGGAGTTTTAACAAAAAGGAAAATATGTAAACTGGTGAATTAGTGATGGTATCTAAGATATGTATGCAGGGGGGGTAATACTTTTTTGATTGTCACAATGTAACGAGAGATGGAAAAAAAACCTGTAAAAGTGTGGAGCATTTCTTCAAAAAAAAAAAAACCCCATTTGGATTGGGGTAACCTAAAATAATTATGAGCTCTCCTCTGCTGCTTTCAGGTAAGATTGCACGATTGCCACAAACACACACACTTAGGTAAGTCCACGCCGCACTATAGATACCCAAATCCTACGGGATCGCTTAAACGGATTTAGTAAGTCTTCTGCTTTAAAACAGCAGTTAATTGAACCTGGTTCTAGGAGTTAGTAGAGGTACAGTAAGACCTTGCCGATCCAGGTGGATCCGAGCCTGGCGGTAAACTTGCATAGACTCAAAAGCTTTTGATAGGTCAATTAGTAGGTCTGATTAATAGTCAGAGGAAAATTAATACAGATCCACCGACCTCAACAGGGTTGAATGTTGAATTAAAAAAAAATGTTTTAGTGTAGAACACTTAACCTTGAGTGTAGGTAACATAAAAAAACTGTATACAAGAATACTTGGTTATGTTTTAAATTGACTTAAAGTGGACCTATCATGCTATATTTGAATAATATAGTGTCGGACCATACCTATATAAGGCATATTTATACTTTTTTTTTTTCAAAATACCAAACAGATCATGCATTTTAGCCATGCCTCATTTCGCTCAATTTGAAAAATGTTAGCTCTGTTTTTGCAAGGGTTGATTCTGTGAGCAACAGCACCATCTAGAGGCCTGGCATATGTACTACAGCGTCTCCAGCGCTTTCGAACGGCAATGCCGTGGTTGTCTCCTCCTGATTGGTGGAGTTGGCCCAATAGCCGTAGCGCCACCGTGATAGGTCCCCTTTAAGTTAAGGTGAAATAAACTATGTGTAGTGAAAAAAATATTGAAGTTGGGCTAACTAATGTGGAATGATCTGCAACTTACCATTTGTTGTTGTTTTGGCTTGAAAATGAAATGTTAAGTGCTTTAAGCATCCATTATACTTATTAAAAACTGGTTCCAATCTCCTACAGAAATCCCATTTACAGTTACACATGATAAATCAAAGTAGTGACACATGTTCAAATCTTAAATTATATGCCTTTTATTTTTATTCCTTCAATAAAATACACTGATGTTGCTCATAATCCAAAAGCAATGTTTGTTCTTTCTCAATCCACACATCACTCTGAATGACGTTGAAAGTGTTTTAATGGCTTTAGGGCACTGCAAGTGAAAACCAATATGACTGCCCAAACCAGAGGAAAGGTGAAATAGGAAGGTCCTGCAGATTGTCCGTTACAATACCTCCCTCAGAAATGATGGCAGTGAAACAGGGTACAGAGGGAAAGGATTAGGAGAGGCTCTTCTGATCAGTCAGCACCCCGGCAGACACTTGTGCCTTGACCTTATCACTGTCAGAATCCTGTATAAAATCAAACAAAAAGAACATTGCATGGATACGTTAACAGACAGGTCAATACTCACTGTGTTATCATCTGTCCTTCTTACAGTGCCTTGCACATTAAGCTTTCACTTTAGATGCACCTGATATATTAGTAAACCCAAAATATATTTTTGACCCGTTAAAAATGTCCAGTAAAGAACATAACTGAAATTATGTATTTAAGTCTTTGTCACATTGAATTTTTTCCTTTGCTGTCCTCATTGGCTTGTATTATTTTGTGTATGCAACACCTTGTGCAGAATACGCAACCCAGTAAACTCAGTAAAAATGGTCTGCAGACAGAGTTAGTTCAATGCATCACTGTGCTGTGCACGGTGCTACTATACTTACTCATGTGAAGTAAAGAAAATACTGCTGTCACCATCTCCATCTACAAAAAAAATAGAGTGGATGACATGCCGTAAAATGATCTTTCCAAACACATGCCTCTGTTATAGGAAGCAGCCCCAGTGTCCCAGATGCATCTACGAACCATGGATGTATAATAAGAACTGGATACAGCGTGGGAGGCGGGGTCTCGTTCTTTCTTATGAGAGCTGCTCATTGGCGCATGAAGGCAAAATGGCCCAACTTTTGAGAGAGCGAAACGTCACAGATTACCCGTCATGCCTGACTAGAGCATGCGCACTTCCTGGGGGGCTTGCTACGAACACGTTTGAATTTTGACTTAAAGGTCCCATGTCATGCTTTTCCGGTTATTACCTGTCCCCTTGTGTGTTATGTAGCTTTGTATGCATGTACACGGGCTGCAAAGTCCCAAACCCTCAAAGTACACCCTGTAGCGAGTAAAACTCTAACACAGAAAATACCTGTCTATGCTGCCCCAGAACGCCTCGTTGGAGATTTCTCTTTTTCCATTGTTTTCTTCCTGGGTACAGTGACGTGCCCAAATGGACCCATTGGTCAATCTGTGGAGCTCCTCACACACACACTCTCTCAGCGGCGAAACTGTGAAGCGCTGGGGGGGGGCGCGGGGCGCTAGTGGCGCGCAAGCAGGAAATGAACCCAGCTCACACTGTCCGCTCCTCGCAATAGCGAGCCGCGCAACGTCCCGCCAACACGGCACCCAGACCCCATGCAGAATTCTCATCTGTTTGTCCTTACTGGTGTCATTTTCTGGTTGCTAACGCCATAGTAACACATAATCACTGATGTTCCGCTTCTGTAATTCACTGAACTAACATCAGCATTAATCTAAACATCTCTCTGTCAGTGAGATACTGGTAAACAAAGCACATTTCTCCACAGCTCTGCAACAATGAGCCTTTACATAGCAGACGCTGAGGTTACTGTGGGGTCATTATCAAGTAGGACAGGGAGGCCTGCTGTTACATCCGGTTTCTAAAGTCATGATTATTTAAAACACAGTAGGCCTACATGTTTTACAAAGTGTTTAAAAAAACAAACAAGTGTCAACACAAAGTTTGTTTGGCAGTGCAGGGCAGCAAAACATTATTAATTGTAGGAGGGATTTTAAAGAAACAATCCACGGCGACTGCGACTGCTTGGTGTGTCAGGGCCTGACACACCAGACCGAAATCGGCTACCCTAAGGTAGCAGTTAGCAGAGACCAGCCGAAGTGTTGGTTTCTCGCATTAGCTAGCTAACAATGGCAGCAGTCAGAAACACACGTTTACACACAACTATTGCTTGCCCGACAACTTACCTAATAATTCTTTAAAATACAAAATGAGGCTTCACAAAATGGTAAAAATCCACTCGACTACTTTCCCTTTTCCTCAGTTTTCGCAGTTAGCGCCAATTCTTGCCCGTACAGCTGAACCAATGGCCACTGCGCATGCTCAGACCTGAGGCCTCCCCCTCTGCTTCTTCTTTGGTTTTAATTCAGCCTGATTGTTTTCTTAACCTTGTTAATTAAACAGAATTAGCTATGCAAATCAGAGAAGCTATGTATTTAAACTTTTGAAAGGAAGAATATTTACATATTCATATATTTTAACTTGTTTTTAATGAGATAGGACTTTATATGGAAAGAAAAGTCCTTTGGAAAAACAATACTCAAAAGCATAATGTTTTTATGTCTTGGGTGAGGATCCTTAAATTGACGCAAATTTCCCCTCCGTGGGACTAATAAAGGTATTCTAATTCTGATTCTGATAAGCTCCATGGTATAAGCATCCAATAGCACATTTGTTGTCCTGTTTACTGTTGGTATTAATGCAATGTGTGAATAAAACTCATACTATAATTACTTTTTTATTTATGTATCGTGAATATTAATTGTACAATAGGCTACAGTGAAATTAGAATATAATTGACAAACATTTCCAACAATTCATGCACATCAAATTAGACAAAACAGCAACTTTGTAATGATGACTTACAGGTTTTGAATTCAGATAGGACACTTTGGCATTACAGAAGCATACAAAAACGAGTAAGCACAGAGGTTTAAGGCATTTGTTTGTTTGGAAATACATTATGCTGCAGGATCACGCTCTGCACACATCTGATATCTGCATACTGTTTTACTGTGTAAGTGATGCTCATGATTGATCCTGAGATGCGAGTAAATGAGACTTGGTTTTTAAATGTCAAATATAATAGCTGATAGCTGAAATTACAACTGCATCATGTAGCAAGTCAAGTTACAAAGAGGTTTCAATATAAAACAAAGAAAAACCTGGTAAACCTGAAATAATAAGAATAAATGAAGTGATCCTGTATCTCATAAATAGATACTGTTTAGTTATATATCTCTCTGGAGTGTTTTTTATGCATCTGGTCCCTTGTAGTAATTTGTAATTACATTAAATGTACTTGAAGAACGAACTAACATGGTTGATGGTCATTTATGATTTGATGAATACAAATTTAAAGAAAGAGGATATGAAGTTACTCTTCTTAATATAAAAACTTCAGACTACAAAGCAGAAGCATATCAATAAATTAGTTGCTCAATAACCAATTTAAATATGATATTTTCTTTATATCTACAGCAACACTAGTTACCAAAGAGTAGGTTACCTAATGTCATCAACTCATTTCTTTTTACTGAAATGCTCACTTACATTGTACCAAACCAAATTCTCCAACTGTCTGATCATCTCTGAAGGTTTGTTATGCCGAAAACATGTGGAGACACAAATAATGTTAAACAGGAATATAGGCCATTTGTTATCTATGTATAACAATTGGAGCCATAAAGCCAACACACGGTCAACCTTCACACATAAACTGATTGTACTAAAAGAGAAAATCTGTCATGAGATTTTCTATGTGTAGGCTTTTCTTTTTGTAAAAATCGTATAATTGGTCCTGCAGCAAGTTGGAAATACATCTGGAAGATACTGTAAGCCTGCAGCTGCTGTCTCACTATACTATCAACTCAGGCTGGAATGATACACACTTCTGATTGTTACAGTATCACTGCACTATAATGGAGGTAATTGGTTTTCCAATTTACAGTTTGAAAGAGCATACACATAATTAACTCAAAAATCTAATAGCCCAGCTATAGATCAGTGGATCTAAACATTATGCAGCAACGAAACTAAAAATAATTATTATAAGCCTACCTTTACACTTAAGACATAAAGATAGGTGATGTTTAGGATATATCCCTTAAATGATATGAGTTTTTTTAAAACTCCTTAACACTGACATCTTTTCTAAAAAGCCCTTAATCTTGTTTCCTCACAAGAGAAATCACATGCAAAACATTTAATTAATGATATGATAGCCATCTCTTTAAAGGGTAATTATAACTTGTTTTACATTTTCAACAATTCACACTTGGCTATTAGCACATATAGTCATGACACATGGGGATATGAAGGCATTACACAGGGAATGATACAAGCTGCAGTTACAATCTTTTTAGCCTTCTTCTGTTGTTTTCAAACTTTCTTTATATGGCACAGGAGTGTTGCAGCCACTCGGGTAGCTAATTTTAAGCAAAGTGAGATGTTGCATTTGAATTGCTGATGCCTTTACACAGATCCTAATATAGGAGTCCATCCAGCAAGAAAAGATAATATCATTTTTATCCCAAAGACAGAATCTGTGTATATGGATGCTGTCAGTGAGGAGAAAACTCTCACACGTGTCCATTCTTGCCTTGGTTAGTTAGGAGTTTTCAGGAAGGAGGCTCCAGGCACTCAGACAACACTTCATGTTTGTCTGTCATTGAGGATACTTCTGATGGTTGCTCTGTCATGAAACTGGCACTCATCTGGATTTTGACCTTCTCCACCTCGTAGTTATGCAGGTACTCTTGAATCAGGTAGCGCTCTCGTTTGAACCGAGCCTTCACAACTGACGGGACGTCCGGGATCATCCACGCCACGAAGAACTTCACCACAAAGACGACGTGCTAAAGAAGGAGAATTATCACACTGTCAGATTATAATTCTTTAGTTCTGTGCATTTATTTTGCAAGTAAGGAGTGAGAAAAAGCTGTGTTGTCTTACCTCCATTATAATAATAAAGGCCATTTTGGCTGCTAGGATATGCCAAAACTGCATGGTATGAGTGTATTCCCTCGCGTGGCCTGGAGGGTAACGGTAGTCACGGTACCTGTTCAAAACAACATTATTCAGTCAATAGTGTTTCATTAATGTAATCATGCTGGTACCAGTACATATCAATAAATGCCGAAAAACTCAAAAACGTAACTTATGGCTCCATCAACAGATATAAACACATTTTCTTGGACTAAAGCAAAACATATTCGTTCATAGGTTGCACCTGTCAATATGAAGTTAAGCTTGCAGTTAGCAAATAATTGCTGATCTACACACAAACACAGAGCCCCACTATTTATTTGGAGTAGTGTGAGTCAAATGTTGGGTCTAATATTCACTCACTTTCAAGCTCTGAGGAAAATATTTGACTCACCATCTAGTGACTAACATTTTCTGTCTGTGTGTTTATCATAGTGTACAGCGGATTTGTCAAACCATTTTCAGTGAGAACAATTGCCTAATGCAGCAGGAGAAAAAAACGCTGTGAAACCAAATCAAAACAAAAGTCTGGCAGGCATTAAACCCAAATCAATGAGTTGAAAGAATAAAAAGCTCCATATTGCTCAGGGGGGGATACAGAGGCTAAAGCTCTACTGAAAGTAAATTAAAGCCAGATGCACAACAAGCTCTTTTAGCTCTATTACCTGCAGGTGGAAGTCGTGTTATCAAATGAGTTGCCTCCCTCCTCAGGCATGTTGTCGTTGGGTATCTGATAGATGTTATATATTGACAGGCTGTTGTTAACGTAGCCCCTCATGCTGGCATCTTTACCATAGGCATACAGGAAGACCATACGGGGGATCATGTCGGAAGTAAACGCCATGATGAAAGCCTGGGACAGAAAGGACAAAAGGCTTTCGGTTAAATGTGACTTTTTTTTTTTTTATGGATATTTTCCTTCTGAAATCCTTCAACACATTTATCATAAATGCAAACAAGGACATTCGCACAGATTAGACAAAAAACACATTGAATGGTGAACATTTTGTCTGATAAACATACGCTGCTACATGCCCAACACCTACATTGGTAACAACAGACAGAATGGCCACTGCGTTGAGGATTTCCTGCCACGCTCCAATGTTTCGGGCCTTGGACGCCACCGGTCGTCTGAACTGGGTGGTGAACTTCCAGGAGTCCACCCTGATCTCCAGGATGTTGTTGCACAGAGCCAGGAGCGGAGCCAGAGGAAAAGAGGCCACAAACAAAGTGATGAAACCAAACTGGATCACTGAAAAAAACAGGCAGAGCAGAGAGAGAGTTAGAGGTGGTAAACAGGGAAGAGTAATAACAGGATGGCAAGAAGACAGCATGCATTAATCTGGCTCTTCTGTCCAGATATGATATCTGTAATGTAAACAACGTCAGAGAAGTATCTCACCCATCTCCAGGTACTCATAAAACAATCCAAGCTGGCTGAAGTTCAGCAGCCCGTGGTCCTGCTCCCAGCGACTGGAATGGTTCTCAGGATGGTGCCGTCCTTTCCTGTTACTCCACCAGTTACGCATCAGCCTGTTGAGAAGCACATGAAGATAAACATACGTCAAACTGCTGAGACTTTCTGTTGCCAACAAGACGTTTCCAGAGAAATCAGCACAGGAACAATAATATTTGTAGTTGCAGAAGTCTGCAATTAATTGATGTGTATAGTAACCAGTTGTTATAAAGTTTCCCTAAAAGGTTTTTGATAGCTTCTCAGCAGGTTTTATAAATAATTTTTGGGTAGAGAAGCAATACCATGACATTCAGAGGTAAAACACTTTTGTTTATGTGGATGTGTGCATCTGAAGTGGGCAAGCTGCAAAGCTAGAACTTATATTTATTTTTTCTTAGCACTCAAAACATTGATCTTGTTAAAACATTTATAAAATGAATGCACTCGAAATAAACAAAATGCGCTGTTAAATAAAACCTTCATTGAAAGCTATTCTCTTGTTGTGGCTCGTTGCTATTTTTGCAGTAAATAAGTGATTGGGGTGAAAAGTTAAGAGGTGAAAGACTGGGCGGAGGACTCACGGCAGCAGAGCTTCCTGAATGTTCCCCCACAGTTGTTTTCCAGCCATAACAATGACCAGCTGCGTGGTGAGCTCAATCAGACAGCCTCCGGGGTCACACTGGGACAGAAAGAGGTTTCAGTTTACATGACACACTTATTGATGCACTTTCTGTTGGCAGGACTAGATTATGAAGCTTTCCTCACAGGTAAAGACATGTGAATGGTAAGGTTAAGGTTAAGGTTAGTTTATTTAGATAGCACATTTAAGACACAAAGGCAATTTAAAGTGCTTTACAATTGGCAATAACACATAATAATCAAGATC